TTGTTCTATGTGAAAATGTGTTAAGCAAAATTGTCCTGTGTGAAAGTAAACTATGAGAATGTACTCTGTAACATCCCAAACTATGGGTTAGTGACCAAATTGTAAAATTTTAGAATTTGGTGATTAAAGTAGAATAGTTGAATAGTTAAATGGTTTAATTAGGGATATTTCCTTAAAGTTGTTAGTAATTATCCAAAGAATTAAAGGGAAAAATGGCCATTTGTCATGAAAGATATTTTTATCCCCTTTAATAAGAGATAAAAACGTGGGAAGATGAAAACATTTCATCTTCTTTTCCTTTCTTCTTCTCCAACCGTGGAGGCTAGGCAAAGGTGAGTTTTCTATTTTGTTGATTATTTGTTGAATTAAATGTTGGGTTTTGATCATTAGATGATAATTAAGCTTACGGAAAGCTTAATTTGTTCTAAAACAACAAGATGAAAGGTATATGAGAGATTAAAGATTTTGAGTTCTTGAATGAAATCTTGAAATAGAGTTGATAAATTGAATTTGAAGTTGAATTTGATTTGTCATATATGAGAATAAGAAGTTAGAAGTGTTAGAATTAAGTTTGAATAACATGGAAAATTTGGTATGATTATTGATTTTATATGAAGAATAGAATTTTGAGGTTTAAGATGAAATAAATATATATAAATTAGTTTAAGTATGTATATTTGAGTTGAGAATATAAAAGGGGATGAAATGTGAAGAATTGAAGTGGAAATAGAAAATTTTCGTGCAATGAACAATGATTTCTGGGCTTGAACGAAAATTCCAGATTGTGCAGGGGGAATAGATTCCCCTGTGGGGTATCGATTCCCCCTAAAGAAAAAATATGGAGTTTTGGGCTTAAGTTATCAACATCAAGTGTAAGGTTTATGCTTCTGATAATTGTTTTGAGATGTTGTATAAACAAGTTCCGTAATAATCAAAGGATTAGGATCGAATCAAAGCAAGGCTAAGGTGAGTGCAATTTAATTGTACTTATGCTATCGAAAACATTGGCTTGCGATGAGCCTGTGACAGAGTTACTATAGTAAGAAGTGACTCCTAAAATGTTATATGATTGATATGATTCTTATGAGGGCATTTTAGTTTATAGGATTATAATTAATTGGATTTGTGATAAGTCTATTTCCAATAGTTATAGTGTATGGAGAATTGATTATAAGGATGTGAATGACATGAAATATATGTATACTTGATTATATAAACTGATATGTGTTTATATGTGCTATGTGATTTATGTGATATGCCATATGTGAAAATAAAATATGAACTATAGGAAATGAGTATATGAGTATGTGAAAAAAGATGATTCAAAGTATATGTGACATACGAATATGAAATCATATGAAAAGTGACATGAATTACATGAAAGTAAACTACGTGAATACATGTACTTGTGATACATGTGATACGAATGAGATACGGTTACACATATAAGTGGTATGTGACAGAAGACAAAGAACAAGTGATATGAAATGTATAAATGATAGTGCCCATGTTATATGATACGAAAGTTATAGGTATAGTTGGTATGCCAAGAGTCGAGGGTCTACGCGGTCTTTTGGGACAAATTCTATGTGGTCATTCGGGATATATGTATTCTTTGGAGCATGTATGAGGTCTTTTGAGACACTTACTTGATCCTTGGTATATGTATCTAATTCTTAAGGAATTTATATGTGGTCTTTATGGACAATCTTATATGGCACTACGATACATTTCTACGTGGCACTTCGGTGCCATTTCTACGTGGCACTTCGGTGCAATTTATACGAGCTGTGGTGACAGCATTTGTGCACAACCTTAGTGTACTCACATACCTTAAGTTCTCAATAGTGTACATGGGCTAACAAAGAGATTTAATAGGTATATTGAATATGATATGTATATGTGAATAGTTATATGGAATAGATCACATGATTTATGTAATGGTGTATTGCTTGGTTAATGCATGATACGTTATGTATAAGGTGGTTAAATTATAAGGATTAATGATGATGAATATAAAATTTTAAACGTGTTGATAAGGATATATGTGGATGTGGGTATATGTTACAGAAATGATATATGTTTGTATATGATATGATCGTAATAAATGTTCATGTATTTGTTATGAATTATATGATATTAAGAGTATTTCTTTATGAAATGTTTTATGGTTTCCATTATATGTTTTTATACCTCACTAAGCCATCGAATTAGCGAGTGATTGTTTCTACGCGGCACTTCAGTGCAATTTATACGAGATGTGGTGACAACATTAGTGCACAACCTCAATGTACTCACATATCTTGAGTTCTCAGCGATATTCGCTGAGCAAATAAACTAAATTGATATAATTTGAATAATAAGTAACATTATAAAATGTTAATGAAATATTTCAAGGTCTCTATATGAAAGGTTTTCAAAGAAATGTATAAGCAGATGTCAAATAAACATAAATTGATTTTCATATTAAGTATTATTATTTGAAATGTTTTAAGATTATATATCGCTCATAATGCATCATTAAGTCATAAACTTAGGTAGTGTTTGTTTTCACTGTTTAAGGTCTTCAAAGCTTTTATGTCTGCGCCGCGCAGACCACGCACAGATATTGGGCTTCGCAAACCGTTTGTTTTTTAGAAGACAAAAGCTCTTCTAACGTCTGCGCGTCTCTTCTTGGCGCAGACGTGGACTTATGTCTTCAAAGCTCTTCTAACCTCTTCAAAGAACCATTTTTGCTATTAATTTTTTAAAAATTATAAAATGTCATTAAATTTAATGAATTATTACAAAATAGTCACTATAATGTTGTAATAAATTATAAAAGTTCGATAATATAATAATTATTTTATAGTATTTAGTAAATTTATTAATAATTTTATAATTTTAAATCTTTTAATAAATTTAATAAGTATTTTATAATTTTTTAAACTTTATTGACGAAAATGATCATTTGTATATAACTCAACAATATCTAATACAATTTATTTGAAAAATATATATTAAACTTAGTAAAAAAATATTTTCAATTAAACTTAGTAAACTTTTTTTTATGTAAAAAATTAGAAAATCACAGGGATATACAATTATTAGCATTAAAAGACAAAATAAATGTTTTAATAAAAAAATATTCACACTATTGAAAAATATGATTCTTATCGTTTAATTCTGGTAAAGTACGAAAGTCCCTTTATACATAATAAATAAATAAATAACAAATAATATATTTTTCTAAATAGAAAAATACTAATTGATGTATATATATGTAGTATATATATATATTTTTTGATGTTACTAGAATCGGAGAACTCGAATATTTGTAAATCGATAATAAAATTGAGAATTGATATATGAATCGATAAATTGAGATTAAAATTAATAAAATTACTTCGACCGAAACAAAGATTGAATTAAAATCAAATTTTTCAATCGATAATATATTAAAACGATATATAATTAAAACCAAAATCTATATAATATAATTTATAATAATAAAATTCGTATAATATTTATTTAATATATTTTTCAAATAAAATATATTAGATATCGTTGAGTTATATACAAATGATCATTTTCGTCAATAAAATTTATAAAATACTTATTAAATTTATTAAAAGATTATAAAATCATTAATAAATTTATCTAAATACCATAAAATAATAATTATATTATCGAACTTTTATAATTTATTACAACATTATAGTGACTATTTTGTAATAATTCATTAAATTTAATGATATTTTATAATTTTTAAAAAATTAATAACAAAAATGGTTATTTGAGTATAGTTTAAAAAATCAGTTTATTTATATTTCATTTTATTTTAACAGTATGCAGACGTTAAAAAACAAACAGTCTTCTTCTTGCAGACTGCAAACTTTTGGTCCACCTCTTCTACTGCAGATGCCTGCAGATGTGGTCCGCAGACTGCAAACCTTTTACCTCTGTAAAAACAAACATCACCTTAGTATTTACTCTAAGTATTCTAAATCATTTGACAATGAACGCTCAATCACCCTTATAATCACTGATGCTTGAACCTGTGAACTCTAGAAATAACAACGATTCTTTTAATTACTGATGTAAGTCGGTTCTTATTTATCAATGCGACTCTATAAAAGAATGATGTAAAAGATTACAATATAAACATAAAATTCGAGTTTGTAATTTAAAAGATCGAAACTACATTTAAAAAAATTATGATACTAAAGTCACTAATTATTAAAACTATTTTTAAGTTCGAAAAATATTTTTCTTACAAATAATGCGTTCCTCCTCGTCTATCACCTTCTGTTTTACTTTTTTCGTTCATCAATAAATTCAACTTCAATAATTGAGTTCATAATAATTTAATATTTCGAGCCAAAAGTCGAATTATAATTTAATAAAAAAATATTGAAAACTTTTATAAATAACTACCGTTGCAAATAAACATTTAGTTAAAAACCTATTTTTTTTAAATTATAACTTAATTTACCATTAATTAAAAGGGTAAATTACAAATTTAGTAATTAAACTTTACTATCTCTCTTATTTAATTCAAATATTTTAAATCTTTTCAATTTCTTCAATAAACTTAATACATTGAGTTTTTTTGTCACTAAATCGTTAAATAATTAATGGCGTTTAAATGGACTATTATATAGATGCAAAAATACATTATTTTGGTGAAAATTTTATTGTTTTTAAAACTATTTTTAATTTTTAATGACAAAAAAATTAAATATATTAAGTTTATCGTGAAAATTAAATTGTGATGAAATTTGTAGCTTACCCTAATTAAAAAAGAAGAAACTTTTTATAAGAAAAATCCGGTGTACGAATTCTAGTACGTTTTTAAAGTATTTGAGTTTGAGTGTTTGACTAACGCGAGGCTGAAGTAAGAACTCTAGTACAAGTGGGCGAACTCAATTATAATAAATACAAAATTTCATGGCTATTTTGGTAAATTTGATTCCAATCTCTTCTGTATAAATTCTCGCTGCTGCCTAGCTACCCGTCATTGTATTCTCTCTAGCTTCTTCTCGATAATTTTCGAAGTCGAAATTTAAGAATTTAAGGCAGCAAAGAAATAAATTTTCGGCTAATATGTTGGTTTATCAAGATCTTCTCACAGGTAAAATCTTTTTTCTTTCTGTTTTTGTTTTAATTTCTTTTTATCGGCAATTCTTTTTTCCGTTCTGTACTGTTTTCGTCTTCTGCTTTGATTTTTAGTTATCGAATCTTCAATTTTTTTTGGTAAAATTCATTTTCTGGGTTACTAAAATATATTGAATTTGCGGCACAAGTTGATTTGATTTGTTATGCCTGTTTTTGTTCTTGTTAAAAGCTTAATGTTTTGTTATAATAAAGCTATTTTCATAATTTTTGAACTTAATTCTTGTTGATGGTTTCCAGGTGATGAGCTGCTATCTGATTCTTTCTCATACAAAGAAATCGAGAATGGAACGCTATGGGAAGTTGAAGGCAAGGTTAGAATCTTCAATCCTTTATTTTCTCAGTGTTGTTTTTTGCAATTGTGGGATGGAATTCACTGTTCTTTGTTATGTTTTCTCAACAAATTTTAATGTCTGGTTTTTTCCCAGTGGGTTGTCCAAGGAGCTGTCAATGTAGATATTGGGGCTAACCCTTCGGCTGAAGGTGCCGATGAAGACGAAGGTGTTGACGATCAAGCCGTTAAGGTTGTTGACATTGTCGACACTTTCAGACTTCAGGTAAACAGGTTCATGATTTAGGGTTATGGCATGTTCAAAATACTCTCATCTAAAAAAAATTGTGTTAATTCAATTTGCAGGAGCAACCTGCTTTCGACAAGAAGCAATTCGTAACCTTCATGAAGAGGTACATCACTAACTTGACACCCAAATTACAGCCGGAAAAGCAAGAGACATTCAAGAAGAACATAGAAGGGGCTACTAAGTACTTGCTTTCCAAGATCAAAGATTTCCAATTGTAATCCCGATTTATTTATTTTGTTTTTTTTAATCAAATCATTGTCGTTTCTTATCATTCGTGTTTGACATTGTGCTGTTGTTGTTGTTGCAGCTTTGTAGGTGAGAGTATGCATGATGATGGTAGCCTAGTGTTTGCATACTACAAGGAAGGGACCACCGATCCAACCTTTCTTTACTTTGCCTATGGCTTGAAGGAAGTCAAGTGTTAAATCGAGTCGACACCGGCTACCGGACCGGTTTTGCTCTATAGCTTAGGTTAGTTCTATTCTAGATATAAGATTTTGTTTTCTTTTTCCGCTTTTAGGTCATATAATATATATGGTATTTGAGGGTCTTGAACATTTTGGTTTTACTATTACCAAAATTCACATGTTTTTGTGAGGGGTTAAGGATATATGCTTAAATCTTTGATTGAGGAATAAAATAGTGTGTTTTCTAGCCATTCTTGGCTTGTGATTTTGTTGAATTCCAGTTATGGATATGATTTTTAGGTTCGAGTATAGAGAAGAAACGAGAAAATTGAAAACCGTATTCAAAATTAGTATATAAATTAGTATATAAAGAAACCGAGAAAACCGGAAACCAAACTCAAAATTAGTATAAAAATTGATCTCACCCAATGATTGGTGTCAAGTGTATATATGCTTGTTATTGTGGCCTAGTTGCAATCCTCCTTTTGAGGGTATTTGTAGAATATCTATAAATTTTTCACATATAAGATTTATAATGTATTAGCATGTAAATAAAATGATTTAGAATGTAAATTACTGCAAATAATTCGAATAATTTGACTCGAATAAGAAAGACGACCAACCTTGTAGATAACAGAGCTTGAAATAGGAGCTTCAAAGCTCTGAAAACCACCTTCTTGACAGCTTTACCCTTTGGTATTCTCTACTATGTAGGCAACCTGCCGTCATCCACACGGCAGTCCAGCATGACAGATCTTTCCGCTGGATCGGTTTTGTAAAGGTAACTGAATGCTCTGAGTCTGGCAAACTGTTTCTATCAAATTTCTGCGCGATTGAAAATCACATCTGCAATCTCGTTCCTTACCTGTTTTACATAAACAAATACGAACTAGTAGAAAAGCTCAGAATTGAGAGCCAAGAGAAGCATAAACAAAAAACAAATACTAGATGAAAAGTTTTGTTACCATGAAATGAAATCAAAGCAACAGAGAATTGATGATGTTCTGAAGAACATTTGTCCGGCCACGACAAATACGAAGACTCGTGATAAAGGGTGGAAAAGGGAAACTGCCACTGGTCAGACAAGCAACAACAAAAGGCATCCCATAATCCAAAGCTAGATTACAGTTACTAAGAGGTAACCATTATGCCCCATAGAAAGCACATCAAGGAAATAGCTTTGAAGTGGACGCCATTAAAGAGCACATCAAAAATGTCTTATTTGGCTAAAGAAGCATCATCCCAGAGGGAAAAGACAGCAAATGGACACAAAAACTGTTAAAAGGAAAAGCAATTCCAGCCTCTTCTTCATCAGACTCGACGATAGTTGATCGTGTGTAACAATCTGTAACATTAGGGCACTCTCCAAATTCTTAGACCCAACTCTCCATGTCCAGCCTACATTAACATTTGACCCCCTACTTCTCAAACTATAAACCATTGACACGCACAATATATATATATATCCCCTAAAAATTGAAGTTGACGAACAAAATTGCCTTTTGAAGAACAGATGACTCTGTGGAGATGGCAGTTCATCCAAGTATCACAATTTATCAGATGACAATCATAAAGTTTTGCCATTTTCAAGCTCCAACAACTACTAGTCCTTAAAATTGTAGTATTTAATAAGAAAGAAATCATTGCAGAAATATATTAACAGTTTAAAGATTAGAAAAAACTACCTACAAATGCAGGAGTGCTTAGCACAGGGTGAAAATTTTCCATCCGTAACAATGGCAGAGGAAGCTGAAACTGCGACAACCTTACAAATTTGCAAGAGTGATTATTAAAGGAAAAGCTGAATCATTGGATCCAGAAAGGTGAGCTCGAATTTAGTTCCAGTAAGTAATCTTCGATTTACCATTATCGTGAATGTCGGTTCAAGAGTGTCTCTGCGACTGTCACTGCATGGTGAAATAGGGTGAAGTATAAGCTTACATGTGCAATTGAAAATGAGGCTGTCCTTGTCTTCATTGCTGCTAGACTACTAAGCCCCCAAGCTGCACCTGCAGATCTATTCACGTGGTGTTGGTTAATATTCTACATACAGTAGAGCATAATTGCAGATTAAGCCAGCAACATAGGTAAGCCACTTTCTATTCCAAGACTTTCAATCAAGAAAACAATGCCCAAAGAAGTGAAAATTAACACTGAATCGGTTCTTCAGTAGCAACCTTCTCTCTACCGTCATCTGGACATCAGTGCAGCACAAAAAACGGTAACAGAATGCTTCGAATCTGCCAAACCGTTTCTATCAAATTTCTGAACTATTGAAAATAGTATATCCAATCTCGTACCTCACCTGTTGCAATAAAGAGTGGTATGAGTTTGCTGGATGCAGATCAACTTTGAGAAGCATCTTTTATCCACAATTGACATTACGAAGCAATAAACGAACACTATTAGCCAGATCTTGGAGAGCAAGGGAACAATTCATACAATACCTATGAGCTGCAGAAATATAACTTATAGCATGATACACCGAACAATCCTTGCTTAATATGGAACAATTGGTCGATCTTGAAACACAGATAATCTCTATGACAGAGATAATTCCGGAATGGATGATATCCTGAAAAACATTAGTCCGGTCCGATGCAAAGAATTAAAGGGTGGAAAAAGGAGAACTACTCTGGTCAGACAAGAAACCAATCCCGAGGGTATCATCAGAGGATGTGCTTCAACAAAAGGCATCCCATCCAACAAATAGCATTGAGGTGGATGCCTTAAGGAGCACATCGAAATGTCTGATTTGGCTAAAGAAGCATCATCCCAGAGGTAAAGAGAGCAGATGGACACAAAAGTTGTTATAAAGGAAAAGCAATTTCGAACTCTTCTTCACCGGACTTGACGATTAGGTGATCGGACACAACGACCAGCAACATTGGGGCATCCTTCGAATTCTAAAATCCAACTCTCCATCCTACATTAACATTCCATCCCATAGCTCTCACACTAGGAACCATTCAACAAAAAATGCAAATCAAAAATTGCCTTCGAAGTGCATACGGCTTCCCAAAGATTGAAAGTTGATCCAAGTATCACAGTTAATCAAATAAAACCAATAGAGTTTGCCCATTTTTAAGCCCCGTCTGCTCCAATAGCTACTAAAGTCCTCAAAATTGTAGTATTTAATAAGAAAGAAATCATTGCAGAAATATATAAACAATTTAAAGATTAGATAAAATTAACTAGAAATCCAGGCGTTTTTAGCATAGGATGAATCTTTTCCGACTGAAAAATTGGAAAAGGATGATGAAATTGAGAGCAACTTAGTGACTTACAATAATGCAAGAGTAATAATAATAAAAAAAAAGCTGAATCAATGGAACCAAAGAGGGGAGGTCAAGTAAGCAACTCTGGTGAAATGAATGACAGAGTCATTCCAAACGCCAGAGCTTCTTGTTGACCATGAACAATTCGTAGGATATGGAAAATGCGATCGTCCTTTGAAATTGAGACTTACTATTATTTCGAATGTCGATTTAAGAGATACTAGTTTCCCTGAGGCAGCGACTGCTGGGTAGTGGGTAATGTAGGGTAAACTTCGAACTGCATTGTCTGCCTTGTGATATATATATTTGAAGAGGTTTCAATCATTCCATTGTCGTCCAGTGGTTAGGATATCTGGCTTTCACCCAGGAGACCCGGGTTCAATTCCCGGCAATGGAAGTTGTTTTATGGATAGGTCCTTAAATTTTACGGTACTTGTATTTTGGTCATCAAACTTTTAAAACATACAATACACTTCCTATATTATTTTACAAGGTTCTATCAATTCCATTGTCTTCTAGACTTCTAGTGGTTAGGATATCTGGCTTTCACCAAGGACACCCGCGTTCAATTCCCGACATTGGAAATTAATTTTATGGGTAAACTCGTAATTGGTCCTTAAATATATGGGCACTTTGCATTTTGGTCCCTAAACTTTTAAAATGTACAATAATTCCATTGTTGTCTAGTGGTAATGATATATGGCTTTCACCCAGAAGACCTGCGTTCAATTCCTACAATGGAAGTTTATTTTATCGATAAACTCTGTAAATGGTCCTTAAATTTTAAAGTACTTGAATTTTGATCACCAAACTTTTAAAATGTAGAGTACATATACTATATTATGTCGGAAGCTATCAATAATTCCATTGTTGTGCGGTGGTCAAGATATTTGGCTTTCACCTAGGAAACTTGGGTTCAACCATAATATTTTTAATTTATTTTCATTAGAGTTACTATCGTTGAGAAAAATTGACGTGAAATGTTGAAGTTTTTTTTATAAAAGCTCATTAAAGGTTATGTCTTCTCTTATATGAGCATATACCTCTTCTCTCATATGAGCAGATACCGCTCCTCTCGTATTTTTTTGTCGTACAATAATCTATCCAGTTGAAAAAATCATCGAGTTGCTCCTATTCTTTTATTCAATTTGAACTCGATAGAAAATCCTTCAATCTCCTCAATTCACAACTTAAATTAAAATCAAAACCTTTTAATATATTACTATTTACCATCAAATCAACTTAAAATCAAACAGTATTTAATCTTTCGGTCAAGCACAATATTGTTATCATTGGGATCGACTATATCGTTCTACTCATAAAAAAATCGCCAAGGTCAAAAACCTTTTTGATTTTTTTTTGTTATTTATTATTTGTCGATATTGTATGTGCATCTCTACATAATAGATTGTTATATAGCGAATAGAATATTTGGCTTTCACATAATAGATTCAAGTTCAATTCACCGTATTGGAAATTAATTTTTAGGAACACTGTATAAATTGTCACACCTCAATGTTAATTTTAAAATATAATTAATTTAGTTAAGAGACCAAAATAGACAGTTCAAAAAATTGTTGTGTTAATTTCAAAATTCTGGAAAATTTAGAGACTAAACCCTGAATTAACCCATTTTTTTAGTTAGTTGAAAAACAAAAAAAATAGAGTTTTGGGGGTAATGGGAGCCCATGTCTTAGCTGCTATGCTAGACTACTGTATGGGTTTTATATATATATATATATATATATATATATATATATGTATATGTGTGCGCGCGCGCGCGTTTGGTTTAGGCTTAAATTACCCAAACCAAGACTCTCGTTCGGAATTCAACCCCAATTCCCCTAAATTTACCTTAGTTGTCGCATTTCCTCCGTGATTCGCTCTGATTCGCCCATTATTACTGTGTTCCGTCGTCACTGGTCGAACTGACGTCCTTCGACGACCCGTCCCCAACCGTCAACGACCCTAATCGATCGCCAAGCGTCGTTAATCGAAGGGAAGAAACAAATTGCGTCACCGCCATTTTTCTCTTAGATTACGACAATTTCAGTCGTCGGCTAGCCTCACGCCAGCCACCGTTGTGTTCCCCAGGCGATTCTGACTAGAACCTGACCGAGAGCGACGCGCATCGTTGCTCCATCACCGATCATCGGGTAAGTTTTCGTACGTTTGTTTGGGTTGATTGGAATTTGTTTGGGCTGAAATTGGACTATTTTGGAATTAATTTTTGATTTGTTTAAGCTTCTAGAGTAATCGGCCGGCCGACCCCGCCCCTTGATGCCGTCACACACCGTCGCATGCGCGTGGGACTTCTTCCCCTGCCTTGGAAACCTTCTAGAACTGATCCAGTCAGTCTGAACCGGTTCGAACCGACCAACCTGGTCTGAACCGAATCTATTTGACCCGACCAAGTCAACCCGAACTTGTTAAGTTGAGTTAACTCAAATGAGTCAACTTGTTTGATTTAACCCATTGACTTTGACTGTTGACTTTAATTAGAGTTGACTGTTGACTTTGACTCAAAAAAAGTCATTTTTTAAAAGTCACATTTTATGTTTTTTCGATGTCTTGAGTCCGAATCCGAAGTTTGTTTTGCCAAATTCGAACTAGATAAGCTATTTTTCAGTGTTTTACCTTTTGATTCGATCCGTTTTCCGTAATTAAGTTATGTTTCTGATGTAATTTGTTTTGTATGTATCCGAGATATTATTGGGCGTTGGATTCAAGTTCGAGAGTGATCGAATAAAGTCTAAATGTTTCGACTGGTGTAGCTCAAAAATTGAGGTAATACATTATTACCTTATCCATGCTTAATGGAACATATTGGTATTGGTAACTGCATGGTTGAATATATATAGTTACTTGAGTGTAGTCAAAATTTCTAAACTTGATCCGAATGTGAAATAAAGTAAATTAAACTGAATAAGGTTCATATTACATTCATAGACACAAGAAGACTAATAAGAAATGATTTCAAGTTCGGTGATTATCCCGAAAAAGAAATAACCTCATAATCTCTAAATTCTATTTGTCTTTGTTAAAAGCTTTAATACCATAATTATCTAGTTATGAAATTACGAAATTTGCCCCTGTGAGGTAAAAATGGTCTGGACTGACCTTGATAGTAAAAGTACCCTGAGAATCCATAATTAATTCGATAAACTACTGCTTTACCTATTAAATTTCTGATATGCTTGGATAGTCACTGATAATCAGATCCTAACATTCGACAAGGTACAAGACATATAATTATTGATTTATCAGTAAGCACATAAATACTAAAACATCAAAGTACTATTCATGTTTGAATTATTCAGAAAATTTAAATTAAATGAAAAGATTGGACGGAAGGAAATGATTGAAATACCTTTGAACTGTAAAATGACCAAAATGCCCATGAACTGTAAATGACTTAAGATACCCCCAAGTTATGGAATGACTGAATACCTATTTGTCTCCTCGAGGTTCGTTCAATGATAATTCTAAAAGTGCTTAGCTCAGCTCAACTCAACTCAACTCTATGGCGTAATTAGTACTAAGAAGTGAATATTTGTGAGAGTACTCTACCCGCAAACTCAGTAAGTACTGCATTATTGGGATCTGATCAGTTTGACTAGATTTGAAAGCCGGATAAGACACTTGAAATCTGAAATATTGTAAATCACTGCTTGCCTTTATTAAACTGAATTACCAAAATTTCTAAAAATTTAAATGACTATAATGCCCTTACGTGTGTATGATTTACAAATCACCACGGGAATATCTAAATCTTAAATAATTCTGATGTAGTAGTTTCTGACACATCTTAGGGTTATATCTGAATATTATACAATACTAATGTATCACTTTCCAAATGATTGATCAGTCTGCTAGTAGTCCAACATTTTAAAAAGGGATCTCATTCCTCAAGTTTGATCAATTGAAGAAGTTTCATGTTTACCTCGCTTGATAATTACTAAGTATCTTCGGAAAAATAATTGGATCCTCTTATATGAATGTTTTATATGTTTTTGAAATGTGTTTTATCGAGATTTCTGAGTTACTAAAGTTTTAAGCATGCTTGTCTGATTCATGATCTCTGGCTACTGTTCTACTGAATTGATATGTCTAAACTCTGATTTCCCTGCTACCGTAATATACTATATGAAAACTAATTTCTTCGGGATACTCTGGGATCAGGTATGAAGTCTCTGTAGGTTTAGCTCTAATTAAGCTGGTAATTCCTTATATAGGTTCAACTCGAATCAAGCTAATAATTCCTTATACAGGTTCATCATCGATCGGTTGGTACTTTCTTATATATGATATGCATCGATCAACTAGTAATTCCTTATGGATCTAAGACGATCCCTTGGGTGGGCTCCTAGGCCCAATGAGCCTAGTGGTAAGACCTTATGGACCCTAAGGTACTCTATTAGGGTGACACCTCTGCTATGTGCTTTGGGTAAGTCCTTATGACCGGAGGGCACACTCCTCGGGTGAGCACCTACGCTTTGGT